GGATTACAGGCATGAGGCACCATGCCCAGCTAGGTTGTTTTGTTTTTGTTTGTTCGTTTTTGTTTGCATTTCGGCTTGATTTTTGGAGACATGATCTCTCTATGTAGTCCAGGCTGGCCTCAAACTTGTGGCAGTCCTCCTGTCTCAGCTTCTCATGTGCTAGGATTGCAGGCATGTGCCACTGCACCCATCTGTTTCTATTTTTGGGGGTTTTGAGACTAGATCTTGCTATGTTGTCCAGTCTGGCTTTGAACTTGCTATGTGGCCTGTGATGGCTTTGAATTTGCTGTCTTCCTGTTTCTCAAGTGCTGGGATCACAGGTTAATTTTCCCTGGTTCTTTTAAGATACTGTGAACAGACATGTGTACGTCCATTTGTAGTCAACATTAATTGCCAGGTGCTGTGTATATTGGGGCCTGATTCTCAGGAATCCCACAGTTAAGTAATACACCAAATCAAATACATTCTGTGTTAATGGCCTTTTTAAAAAAACCTTGGATTTACTTCATACACATTCTCTAGTAACTACAGAGATTAGTTAGCATTGAGGTTAGGATTTCTCTTTTTCTTCATGATTTAAGGAATCCCTTTATTTACTACACCTTTTTAATTACATTAATGTCCAAAGGAGAGAAAAGTGTTTCCATGATCCACCCAGCAAATCAAACTGCTATTTCTTTGCCTGTGTTTTACTCCTTGAGCATGGGCGTCTTTTATTTTTACATGGTTGTGATCATTCCTGGAAAATAATCTTGTCTTTTGCTTTTTAAATTTAGTATTAGTTAATGTAAAGAGAAAGCTTTCTAAATTTATTAGTTGTTGAAATGTTATCTTTTATCTATATTTTGATACAGTTTTTTGAGACAGATTCTCACTTCAGGCTGGTCTTGAACTCACTGTGTAGCTCAGGCTTGAATTGGGGGCAGTCTTTCTGTCTCTTTAGTGCTGGCATTATAGGCATGCACCATCATGCTAGCAATATATTCTTTCTTGGCACATTTTTCTTACATTTCAAATTCTCTTGCAAAGACAAAGTTAGCAAGGGATTAGGGTAGTAAACACAATAGGCTTATATGAAACTAATATAATATTTGCAAAGCAGTTACCATACAGTATTTTTTTCAGTGCTAGGGATCAAACCCAAGACTTTGTACAAGCTAGGCAAATGCCTTACCCCAGCCTATGGGTTTATTTTAGTTTGAGTGTTCTAGCTATAGATTTTCTGTAAGAGAAAGTGAATTTTGTATTGTTTGAATTACATTTTAAAAATATTGGTGTTCCTATAGACAACCTATTTTTAAAATGTATATGGTGCACACCTGTAATCCCAGCATTTGGAAGTCCGAGGCAGGAAGATTGCTGCAAGTTCAAGGCCAGTTTGGGCTATGTAGTGAGTTCAAAACAGCCTAAACTACGTAGTGAGACCCTGTCTCAAAAAAAAAGTATATGATATATACTGTCTTAGTTACTTTTCTCTTGTAGCTGAGACAAAAGCCACCCAAAGTTAAAAGTGGAGAGGTTTATTTAGCTCACAGTTTGTAGAGGTTTCAGTTTATAATCAACTACAGCAGAGGGGCAGCAGAAGACAGCAAAAGTAACAAGGGAGAAAGAGCAGGGGCAGTCCTCTTTCTGTCCCTTATAGTGTATGTAGACTACCCACCCTAGGGTAGGTGTAGCTTTCACACCTTTAATCCCAACTTTGGACCATGAATCAGTCACGAACTCTAGATTTCAGCCACCTCTGGAAAGCCTGACCCCACGACTGCATGAGGCTTTGGGTTGACATCTAGGCACAAACCATAACATATAGCAGTTTTTTTCCATCGTATCTCGTAGGACAGGAGTTCTTAATTTTAGCCCTGTAGGTTTAGGGCAGGGTTTTTAGGATGTAAGATACGGAATCACCGATGTGCTTGTGAAGAATGAGAACTCCAGCCATACATTCCTGTAGTCCCTTCTCTAAGTTTCAGTTCAGTAGGCTTTGGGTGGGACCTTGCAATCTGAATAACAAGCAGCTTACATGATTCTTCTGCAAAAAAGATGTCATAATTACTGTCTCAGGCAGGCCATAATTTGGATCTGAGGGAATTTGTGAACTTTTGGAATCAAATAATTTTTTAGGGTATAGCTTAATAATTTTTCTAGGAAGAGAGTGTGGTCCTGTCATCAAAGTCCGCAAAACTCAGCATGATTCAATCAAGATTAAGTTACTGTACCAACTCTGCCTCCTGTGAGCCTCTTTTGAATTATAAATAAAGTCTTAGTGTTCTTTTAGCATAACAAGGACATTTTATTCATGAAACTGTGTATTTTGTTTTGTTTTGGTTTTCTTTCTGCTTTTAGGGGGTGCTATGGGTTGAACCCAGGGGGTTTACATTGCCACTAGGTGCACCAGTGAGCTAGACTAGCTTGCTTGCTTATTTATTAATTCTTTGATAGTAGAGATTGAACCCAGGACCTTTACACTGAGTCACATCTGCAGTCTTTTTTAAAATCATATATGTATATATATGTATATTTTTTGTCTTTTTTTTTTTTTTTTGTACTAAGAATCGAACTTATGGGCTGGGGATTTAGCTCAGCGGCACAGCGCCTGCCTGGCAAGCGCAAGGTCATGAGTTCGATTCCCAGTATGGGGGGGGTACAAAAAGAATCGAACTCATGACCTTGTGCTTGCCAAGCAGGCTGTGTGCCATTGAGCTATGTACCTGGCACTTTTTTGTCTTTTTGAGATCCGGTTTCACTATGCAGATCAGGCTGACCTTGAACTCATTTTGTAGCTCAGGCTGGCTTCAAACTCATGACAATCCTCCTGCCTCATCCTCTGGAGTGCTAGGATTACAGGTGTGTGCCACCACACCCAGCTGTAATTTTTTATTTTGAGGTAGAGTCTCATTAAGAATTTGCCCAGGCTGAGCTCGACTTTGAGATCCTCCTGCCCCAGGCTTCCACAGTGCTGGGATTACATTACAGGTGTGTGGCACCATGCCCAGCTGTATTGTGGCTTTCTTATCTACTGTTCCTTTACTTCTTTGCAATAAAATGAATTTTAATCGCCATTATTTAACTTGTTGTACCAAAACATGCTATTGCCAAGAACTACATTGTGAAAATGATAATTTCTAACAGTTACTTATTGAGGATAACAATGTGCCAGTTATTTTACCAAATGTGGCAGATTATTTTCCTTAATATTCATAGCAACTCCATGAAATTACCACCATAATACTATTTTGACAAATAGGAAATTGGAGGCATGGAGTACTTAATTAACTTGACCAAATTGGCGTAGTTGATGTATATTGGAACCAGGATTTGTGCCCTTCCTACATGAAAGCCAGTTTGTAGTTCTGTAAGTTTCTATGAATCAGTCACATTTGGTTTATTGCTGAAGGTGTATGTATATACAGTGGAATATTCAGTCTTTTTTTTTTTTGTTTGTTTGTCTTTTTGAGACAGGGTCTCGCTATGCAGTTCAGGCTGGCCTTGAGCTCACTTTGTAGCCCGGGCTGGCCTTGTACTCGGAATGATCCTCCTGCCTCAGCCTCCCTAGTGCTGGGATTACAGGCGTGCGCTACCACGCCTGGCTATTCATTCTTAAAAAGAAGGAATTCTTGCACTTTTTAAGAGCATGGGTGAACCTATGAAAACGTGTATTTTATATATGTCACTGCATAACTTTTTTTAAGATCCTGAGGATTGAACTAGGGTCTTCTCTTTGAGCTGCAATCTTTTTTTTTTGGTGTGGGGAATCAAACTCAGGACATTGCGCTTGCCAGGCAGGCACTTATGCCACTGAGCTTTTTTTTCTTTTTGGTATCAGGAATCAAACTCAGGACCTTGTGCTTGCCAGGCAGGTGCTGTGCCACTGAGAGTGCTGTGCCATTGGCCCTTGCAGAGATTCTGATTTTGAGTTTTTATTTATTTCTTTTCAGATTAAAGAGAGTGCATCACAGACACGGAATGTCCTCAAGCAGCATTTTAGTGATTTGAAGGAGACCCTGGGGAAGCTCCTGGATGAGCGGCTGGTGACTCTTTTGCAGGAGGTGGACACCATCGAGCAGGAGACCATTAAACCACTAGATGACTGCCAGAAGCTCATAGAACACGGAGTTAACACTGCAGAGGACTTAGTCCGAGAAGGTGGGCACCCAGAGAGCAACTCAATGCTTATCTTTCAGATTGACGTTTGGCTGAGTTCTCCAGCTATCAGTGAGCTTTTTGCTGTCTGTGGGATGCTTGGGATGTTCCTTCCTTTAGACAGTCTGTAATGTTGGATAACAGTGATATTGTGAGGTACTTCAAGGTAAGTGTAATTGAAATATTAATTAGAATCATTTACAAAATAAGGAATAAGTGATTTATCTCATGCTTCTATTAGAGTGACATCTAATTCATTGTTAACACAATTTTTAGATCATTTTGAGCCTATTCAAATATCTTTCAGTATTTAGGGTTCCAGTGTCGCTTTAGAAGATTAAAAAATATGATTGATGTTTACTCCTGAAGTTTAGTTGCTATATTCCTGTCTTTAGCTAACTTTTTGGGTGGTTAGTCATGTCCAAGAAAAGGTAAGGTTGGGGCTGTAGCTCAGTGGTAGAATGCTTGCCTAGGATATATGAGGCCCTGGATTCAATCCCCTATTTCTCAGAAAAAAAAAAGTAGTAGGTCTGTTTTTTGGAGTTCACAGCTCACTGAGGGGTCCACACATACCTAGTGATGTATCTGAGACCTTATTGAAACACAGAGGAAGAAGTGCTTAGTCTGTTTGAAAAAGTATAGGGTAGCTTTCTGTAGGAGTAATTCCACAAAGGCTTGAAGAAATTCATCCAGCAGACAAGGAAAAAAGAGAGATAATTACGATTCCAAGCAGAAGTAGAGTGACATCAGAAGCAGAGTGAATTGTCATATACAAGGATCTACTAAAGTATTTTAGGCAGTAGAGTTCTGCCTAAAAGTTCTGCCTAAAAATTCTGTGTATACCTATACATTATATCAAAATGGCCCTGCCAACAGTTTGGAGACTAAATTAGAAGTTGTAATTTTAGCTAGTTGTGGTAGCACATACCTGTAATTCCAGCACTCAGGAGGCTGAGGCAGGAAGATCACTGATTTCGAGGCTGGTCTAGGCGATGTAGTTTAAGACCAACCTGAACTACAAAAGCAAGAAGCAAAACAAAGCAACAACAAAGAACAAACTAAAAAACAGAAGTTGTAAGTTCTGGAGGCAAAACATACGGATTAGAAAGTTGTGGAGGTCAGCCAGGTGGAAAATGGTAGAAACAGTGGCAAGCAAACATGAGACAGGGATGGTTTTAAGGGAATTTTTCGGAGATAGATTTTTTTGTTTTGTTTTGGTATTTTTGTTTGTTGTTTTGTGAGACAGGATTCCCCTGTGTAGTTCAGATTGGCTTTGAACTCACTGTGTAGCGCAGGCTGGCCTCAAACTCATGGTAGTCCTCCTGCCTCAGCCTTGCCAGTGCTGGGATTACAGGTGTGTGCGACCACGCCCGGCCTTTTTTTTTTTCTTCCTTGGTTGATCATTGATTCTTGACTACTGGAAGTTTTGGATGATTAGGTGAATGATGGCGTAGGTGCTTAGTCACATGGTTTTAGGTGGGTCGAGGTGCCTGACGTGGAAATGTGGGTGTGATACTGGGCACAGAGATCATACCCGAGACATCGGTATGGCAGGTGATGGCACATGCATCAAATCTGAATCAGTAGGAATAAGTAAAATCATTAAGAGATAAGATGTAATGTAGGAAGAGTGAGTGGCTTGGGGGAGAACACGAAGTGATGTTGACGTTTAAAGGGCAGTTGAGAGAAAAAGGAGACTTCCGTTCTTGTGCAGGATGCTCTGTGTGGCTGAGGATGCACATGCTGCGGCTCACACGTCTGCCCCACGGGCTGGAACCTACTCCCCTCAGGTCCCATTTAGAATATGGTGCTAGTGTTGTCTGTATCTAATTAAAGTTCCATCTTCAGTGAGATGTTTTTCTGTTTCCCCACTGACCATAAGAGTCTCTTTGAGAAGAGTTTTTGGCAGAACACACAATGTCTTTCCCTGGAGGCTTACATTTGGAAACAAACCCAGAAGCAGATCAGCACAGGCCAGGAGTGCACACCATTACCCTGAGGACCGAGAAATGTTTTCCTTTTAGAAAATAAATCCTTTGAGGCACATCCATGTTTGTTAATATTTGATGATTCGATTTTTTTTATACTTCAGAAATGTTTAAAATCTCAAACTCTTCTCCCTTCCTCCCAAGAGATAAAAACTTATTTATGGAACTTTGAGGATTTTGAGGCAGCCTGCAGTATGTTCCTGGTTTTCTGTGGGTGAAGACAGTCATATGGTCTTAAAACTTGAGCAACTCCAGGGTGCGCTCTGAAGGCTGCGTCCTCGAGCACTGCGGAGGGTGGAGAAGTTGGTCTTGTTTGTACTTTCCACGTAGCATTTACTTTTTATCCTGTTACGTAATTTCTGGTTTTGTTGGGTTTTTTTGTTTTTTTCCAGTACTAGGAATTGAACTCACAACCTCGTGCTTGCCAGGCAAGCCCTGTGCCGCTGAGCTAAATCCCCAGCCCATCTGTTACGTAATTTCTGATCTACTGAATGATACTCTTTTAGGAAAATCTGACTACATTATTGGCTTTTGTTATACTTGATCTTAGCCAAAAGGCTGAGAAGCAGTATATTGGCTTTTGTTAAATTTGTTTGTTGTATTGAGGATTGAACCCAGGTCCTTTGCATTGAGCTACATCTTCATTCTTTGGTCTGGTTTTTTTTAAATAGGGTCTTTGTAAGTCACTAAATTGCCCAGGCTGCCTCAGCCTCCCAGAGTGCTAAGATCAATATGTGTATGCTACCACACCAGGGATCATTTGGCTTTTTAAGACAAGATGCCTTCCTGGGCATGGTGGCACCTGTGTGTACACAGTTACTGAGGAGGCTGAGGCAGGAAGATGGTTTGTTCAAGGCCAGCCTGGGCAATTTATTGAGACTTTGTCTCAAAATAAGGACTTGGTGAGACCTTATCTCAAAAATAAAGAGTAGGTCAAGCATGGTGGCGCATGCCTATAATCCCAGGACTTGGCTGAGGTAGAAGGATAAGGAGATCACCTTGAATTTGAGACCAGCCTGGGCTACCTAATGAGTTCAAGGCCAGTCCGAACCACATAGTGAGACCCTGTCATCATCCCCTGCCAAAAAGTGACTGGGGATATAGCTGTGTGGGGGCCCTGGGTTCAGTCTTCAGTTTGCAAAACAAAGGTTTCAGTAATAAAATAAGGTAAAATAAAATGGGCTGGGAATATAGTCAGTATGAAGGTCCTGGACTCAAAACAAAGACCCCCACACCCCGCTGCTCCTATCGGGGATAATATTCTGTTCCTGCTGGGCTTGATAAGGAGTCTGTGGGCGGGGCGGGATGAGTCCCCGGGCCTCTGTTTTGCATGGGGTTGGTTGTCAAACCAGATCCCGTTGTCCGGAGCAGCATCTTCAGCCCTGGCAAAACGTTGCCCCTGTGTACTCCTTCTCCGTTTGGGCTTTTATCTTTGGAATTTGACTGTGGCATCGTGTGGGTATTACCTGCAAGCGGATTGGTATGCTGTTGTATTGCTTCCTTTTCTGGTGTGGCCATTTCTCACTGCACCAGCTCTTATTTTGCTGTAGGTGAGATTGCCATTCTTGGTGGTATAGAGGAGCAGAACGAGAAGCTGTGGAGCTTTACCAAAAAGGCCTCACACATTCAGCTGGACAGGTAAAGCGCTTATGTCTTTCGGGCTTAACCATTTAAATGATATCTTCTCTTTTCCCCCATTAAAGATTCTAATCAAAGTAGGCAAAGAATTCGTTTTTCAAAGTTTGACTATACCTCTTATCACTGCTACTAGCATGAAATAGCTGTGATTATAATTTTTGACGTAGTATTACTGCAGCTGTTTTTCCTTCTTTCTTTCTTCTTGTACCTGGAATCGAACTCGGGACCTTGTGCTTGCCAGGCAGGCGTTGTGCCACTGAGCTGTATCTCCAGCCCATGCAGCTCTTTTTCAATTCTGAGTTATAAGACAGTTGTTAAATGTTTTAAAATTCTGGGGCTCATCGCTTCTTGGCCTTTTGGCTAAGATCAAGTGTAAAATCCTGGGGCTCTGTTTCAGCAGTACATATGCCAAAGTTGGAAAGATGAGCCCAGTGTAGCAGTGCACAGCTGTAATCCCAGCTCATGGGACGCTGAGGCAGGAAGATTGATGTGAGTTTGAGGCCAGCCTGGCTTTCATAGTGAGCTCAAGACCAATCTGAACTATATAGCAAGACCCTGTCTCAAAAAAATAAAATTTATATCTATATATATATATAGATAGATATATTTGTATATAAAATAAAATTTGAGTAATATAGAAATTAGCATGGCCTTTATAAAAGAGAAAAACATGAATATATCATTGAAACTGAGTCATATTTCAGTATACCAGATCTTTTGGTGTAAAACTGACAGTTGTAATCCAGTTTTCTGTTGTGCTAATGTTTATTTGTGAAGAGAATCTTTATGTTACACAAACCACTCACTATAATAAAGTGGGGACAGCTGTAAGCATTACTTACCAGAGACTTCAGGATCCTTCCCGCATGTTACGTGATCTGAACTACTGTTTGTGTTTTTAACTCTGTTAGTGAAGTCTCATAAACACGGAGCTCTGTTTCCTCAGCCTACCCGAAGTGCCTCTGCTGGTGGATGTGCCTTGCTTATCTGCTCAGTTGGATGATTCCATTCTTAACATAGTGAAAGACCACATTTTTAAGCATGGGACAGTGGCATCCCGTCCCCCAGTCCAGATAGAAGAGCTGATAGAGAAGCCCGGCGGCATCATCGTGCGGTGGTGTAAGGTATGTCCTTTAGAACTGCAAAAGTGGCTGTGACTGTGGGTTTGAGATTTTGAATGCTTTCTTGTCTTTCCAAGTAAAAATCCCTTTTGCTTTACAATGAAAATAAAGTTATGGGGAATATGAACTGAAGTTGCTCTTCTGGTTTGAAACAAACATGTATGTATGTATGTACTGGGATTAAACCCAGAGTCTTCACACTGAACTATATCCCCAGCCTTTTTTTCTTTTTTCTTTTGAGCAGGCCCTTGCTAAATTGCTCGGGCTGGGATTGAACTTGTGATCCTCCTGCTTCAGTCTCCCAGAGTGATGGGGGGACTATCACACCCAACTGAAATAAATGTTTTTTTGTTTTTTTTTTTTGAGGGGTGGGTAGGAAGAGCAGAGTTTCACTGTACAGTCCAGGCTGGCCTTGAACTTGCAGGGATCCTTCTGCCTCAGCCTCTCGAGGGCTGGGATTTCAGGTGTGTACCACCACACCTGGCAGATACTGTTAAATTTCAAAAGTTTTACTTTAACATTATTGTTCAGAAAAGTATGGCATTTCTTCAAAGGAAACAGAATTTTTTAAAAATGTCAAACTGGGCCGGGGATATAGCTCAGTGGCATAAGCGCCTGCCTGGCAAGTGCAAGGTCCTGAGTTTGATCCCTGGTACCACAAAAAAAAAAAAGCAAAAAGAAAACCATTTTGCCAGGCCTGGTGGTGCACGCCTGTAATCCCAGCACTCCGGAGGTTGAGACAGGAAGGTCATTGTGAGTTCGAGGCCAGCCTGGGCTACAAAGTGAGTTCAAGGCCAGCCTGAACTGCATAGCAAGACCCTGTCTCAAAAAGACAAAAAAAAAAAGTAAGACTGGAAAGTATTGAGCTTGTGGTCCAATAAAGAAAAGAAAGGAAATAGTCACAGCCACGGCATATTTAGTAAGGCCTTCCCTAGAATGACCCTGTTCAGCAGAGGGTCTGTGTGGTTGGTCCAGAATGTTTTCCCCAATCATTGTGTGGTTTCTTGCCTAACAGAAGGCCCTTTTCTCCTTAGGTGGATGATGACTTTACAGTCCAGGATTACAGGCTTCAGTTCCGCAGGTGTACCTCAAATCATTTTGAAGATGTGTACGTAGGTTGTGAGACTGAGTTCATAGTGCTGCACATAGACCCCAACGTGGATTATCAGTTCAGAGTCTGTGCTCGAGGAGACGGCCGGCAGGAGTGGAGTCCTTGGAGCATCCCCCAGACAGGTCATTCCACATTGGTGCCTCACGGTACGCCGTTAACTCCCTACTCCTGACGCCTAACCCCGTGTGTTGGAATTGGCTTATATTCTGTGCAAATGGACACGCACTAATAGCCATTTTCCTAAGGATAAATCCTAAATTGCTGATAACATGAAACTGTGTGTGTGTGTGTGTGTGTGTGTGTGTGTGTGTGTGTGAGAGAGAGAGAGAGAGAGAGAGAGAGAGAGATTGAAGGTTGAACCTAGGGCCTCACACATGCTAAAAAATGTACCCTATCACTGAGCTACATCTCTAGACCCAATTCTTTTTTTTTTTTTTTTTTTTTTTTTTTTTTTTTTTTTTTTGGTCTTTTTTGAGATGGGTCTCACTATGCAGTTCAGGCTGGTCTTGAACTTACTTTGTAGCCCAGGCTGGCTTTGAACTCACAACAATCTTCCTGCCTCAGCCTCTCGAGTGCTAGCATTATAGGTGTGCACCACCACCATGCCCAGCTCTCAGCCCCTATTCATTGTCCTTTTTTTTCCTTTTTTGGTACCGGCAATCCGACTGAGGACCTTGCACTTGCTGCATAGGTGCTTGTGCTGCTGAGCTATATCCTCAGCCCTGTTCATTCGTTTCTAATCTTAGAATAAGCTCAAACAAATCAGCTTGAACCATAATTTTATGTTTTGTCTTTTTGAGACAGGGTCTCCCTCTAAGGTTCAGGCTGGCCTTGAGCTCATTGTAGCCCAGGCTGGCCTCAAACTCACAATGATCTTCATGCTTCAGCTTCCTGATTACAGGCGAGCGCCACCATGCCCGGACTTCTAATTTTATTAGATAGGAGATAGCACTTACTTGATTTTCCATGCCAAAGTTGCACGGAAATATTTTAAAATCTTTTTTATAATTTGTTGGACTCACCATGATACCTCATTACTGAATCTTTTATTAAACATTGCCATGACCTTTATGAATAATCACTTCTGCTTCTAAATTCTAGTTAATGTTTCTATATTCATATTATCCCTGTAAAGATTCTAATAATTTTCAATATCTTTGCTTTTAAAAAGAGTGGACAACTGGCTTTGAGGGGTACAGCCTGAGCAGTCGAAGAAATATAGCGCTCCGGAATGATTGTGAATCCTCAGGTGTTCTCTACTCCAGAGCTCCAACCTATTTCTGTGGGCAGACGTTAACATTCAGGCAAGTAAATACGCAAACATCTGTCATGCTGTAGGTGGGGTTGTGAAGTGCACAGAGCATGTCTGAGCTTTGAACTAAAAATACCCTGCGTTTATTTCATCATTTAGAGCCAGTGTTACTTGGAGAGGTTTCCTTATATCTGTTTCATTTTTCTCATCTGGATTCATAAAGTCACTAAGAAAATTAACTGAGATAGTATATGAAAAACTCTTGTTTTGTTTTTTTTGTTTTTTTTTTTTTTTTTGGTTTTTTTGAGACAGGGTCTTGCTATGCAGTTTAGGCTGGACTTTGCTATGCAGTTTAGGCTGGACTTGAGTTCACTCTATAGCCTAGGCTGGTCTCAAACTCCGCAAAGGTCCTCCTGCCTCAGCCTCCTGAGTGCTGGGATTACAGGGGAGCATGGGGTGCATCACCACGCCTGGTTGAAAAACTCCTGATACTTGATATGTTCTTACTTCTTTTCCTCCTTAGTAAATAGAGGTAAATAGAGCAGTGCATAGCTCAGCATGGTGGTGTCCACCTATAATCTTAGCTACTTGGGACGCTGACAGGAGAATTGAGAGTCTTAGGTCACCCTTGGCAACTGTCTTAAAATAAAAATTTAAAAGGCTGAGGATGTTGCTTAGTGGTGAAGCACCTCTAGGATTGAAACCTAGTACCACAGCAAATAAACAGCCCTCACGAAAGTCCATCTTGCAAATTCAGAGGACATGAACTTTTTTCCTTTGTCAGTCATGTCTCTAACATAGACAGCCAGTGTACACATAGCTGTATATATGTTTCTTTAAAATAAAGCTGAAAATAAGCCTCTACTACTACCAATTTCCTGTTTCTTAACCCATTTCTTCCTATATTGAAAAAATTTCCCTTTTCTTGTTACCTGAGCTGTATGCTCTTCAGGTATGTTTTGTAACTAGCTCTTCCAGGAAACCAAAGCCCAGTTATTTTTGTTTTGCTTTTTTTTGGCTGTATTGGGAATTGAACCCAAGATGTTGTGCATGCTGGGCAAGCTCTCCACTATTAAGCTATATCCCCTATACTTCAATGTTTTAATTTTGAGATAAAGTCCTGCTGTATTGCCCAGGCTAAGCTTGAATTTGCAATCCTCCTGCCTCAGCTTCCTGGGTAGCTAGGTTTATAGGTATACCTCATTGCACCTAAAGCCCAGTTTTGACTCAAAACCATAAACAGTGCCTGATTTTCACCATACTCACCTCAGTATAGCACACTGAGATGTCCTCTAAGTTTTAAGTCTTGAGACGGTAGAATTGTACTTTGAGCGCTTGTCTCAGGTTCCTCCTATCCTCAGTCCCTCGTGTAAAGCATGGCAAATATGTGATGGTTTTATCTGAGCCAGTGTTGTTCACCTCCAGACAAACCATTCGATGTGTCAGTAGTTGTCAGGGTATGACATGCTAGCTCATGCTCTCTGTGGGCACTTCCGCTTACCTGTTATGAAGAAGAATTTAATAACCAGAAAAGCATCAGCAGAGGAAAAAGAGTCTGCGTTAGTCAGCTTCCATGTCTGTAATAAGTGCTTGTGTTAACTGACCTGCCGAGAGCAGGGTTTACTTTGGCTCCCAGTGTGGGAGGTTCAGGCCATAGCTGTTTGGCCCTAATGCTTGCAGACCTGTGGTGAGGCAGCGCATCCTGGTGGCAGATGCAGCGGAACAGAACTTCTCCCCTCATGGCAGGAAGGAGAGGAAGTGGAGGGGCGTGGGGTTCTGCTTCCCCCCTCGAGGGCCTGCTCCGTGACCAAGTCTCCTAACGGGCCCTGCTCTGATGTTTCTCCCACCCCCCAGCAGTGCCAGACTGGGGGCCAGGCCTTTCCTACAGGGGCCCTGGGGAACACACCAGCGGCAGATCTACGACCAGAAATCCTACAATTCTGAGACCTCTTTAGTTCTCTAGTGGTCACGAGCTGTCTCTATGCATAACCTTTCCATGTGTATGTCCTTTGTTTATAGAAATGCTGGAAAGTAGTTCTGCGCAATGACAGAGCTTCTCAACTTAATAGATTCAGGCCAGATAATAATAACAGAGATGGCTGTTCCTACTGACAGCATTTACTGTGTGCCAGGTCCTATTCTCAGTACTTCGTCTTAACTAATTTGATTCTTGCAGTAGCCCAGTGAGATGGGTGTAGCTCTCCATTTAAGAAGTTTGGAAACTGAGGCACAGAGAAGTTAAATTACGTGCCCACTCACAGTTTGTAAATGCCAAGGCTGGGATTTAAATCCATACACACACACATCGGACTCCAGATGCCTGTCACTAGTGGTCAGGACAGTGAATCTGATTCTAGGTTGTGTTGAAGTCTCTAGTTTCTGTATCCTTAACTCTTTCATTTTTGTTGTTGTCATCAGTTTGTTTTGGGTTGGTTTTTTTTTTTTTTTTTTTTTGAGACAGAGTCTCCCTGTGCAGTTCAGGCTGACCTTGAAATCACGATGTAGCCGTGGCTGGCCTCAAACTCAGGTCAGTCCTTCTGCCTCAACCTCCCAAGTGCTGGGATTACAGGTGTGCACCACAATGCCTGCCTTTTTTTTTTTTTTTTTTTTTTTTAACTTAAATGTTGGGAATTAAACCTAGGGTCTTCTGTATCCTAAACACTGTTTATTATTGAACTACCAAGCCCTTCTTTTCCTGTTTGTGTGACTTCTTTTGGTGGTGTGGGTGCTGGATTGAAGCCCAGAGTGCTTTACTGTTGAGCTATATCCTCATCCTTTTTTTTTTTTTTGTCTTTTTGAGACAGGGTCTCTCTGTGCAGTTCAGGCTGGCCTTGAGCTCACTTTGTAGCCCAGGCTGGCCTCGAACTCACAGTGATCTTCCTACCTCAGCTCCTGCAGTGCTGGGATTATAGGCGTGCACCACCACGCCTGGCTTTTAGGTTTGTCTTTCATTGAAGATTTATTAGTGAATTGGAAACTATAGTGACTGACCATCCTGCATAAACTGTTAGCTCATCGGTCAGCTCCGAGAGATGTGTGCCGGGCCGCAGTTGCCAAGGTGATTCACTGAAACTCCTCAGTTAAGCGCTCTATTTTCTTAGCCAGAGTTTGCATTTTTGTCATTTTTTTTCTTTGTGGAATGAAAGTGTTTCCTCCCCTTCAAAAGAATTTCGGGCATTGGCAGTAAAATCAGAAGATGTGGATGGGCTGCTTGAAGAAAGATAAAACCGTGCAGTTCTTCCTTTGAGGGTCCTGCAGTGCCCAGGACTCGACAGGGTGACTGCGTTGTGTAGCCGGTCTGTCCCTGTGAAGTTTCTGGAAGGCTCAGAGCTGCTGCAGCCGGAGAAACCTGTGCTGCTGGCGGGACCTTTAGCGGCCGCAGTGCCCACTGTCTCTGGCGTCTGGGCTGCTGGCACCCTGTCCCTGCCAGCCTCTCCCCGACTCCCTGCCCCAGCGGCCTCTCTCCTTGCTTCCAACACTGCCTGACCGTGTTTTCCTTTCAGCCAGGTTTTGCTTTCTCCCCCCTGTTACCCGCTTCTTTCCTTTCTTTTTCCTCCTCCCATCATTGTTCCCTCTGCTGCTTCTCTCTCCTCTCTCTCCTCTCCCTGCTCTCCCTCCTCTCCCTTCTCTTCCTTCTCTTCTCTCTCCCTCCCCAGCTCCCGTCTTCTCCCCTCCTCTCTCCTGTCTGCCCTCTCTTCTCAGTTCTGTCTTTGTTCTCTCTCTTCTCTACTGCCTCTCCCCTCTTTCTCCTCTCTCCTTTCCCCTCTCCTTCCTCTCTCCCTTCCCTTCCCTTTACCTCTCTTCTGTCTCTGATATTGGAGATTGAGCCCAGGTCTTTTACACCCAGCTATATCTCCAGCTATTTCTGAGTTTAGACAGTATCGCTGAGACTCTGAATTGTCCACGCTGGGCTCAGACTTGCTACCCTCTTGCCTTATCCCCCAGAGTGGTGAGATAACAAGGGTGTATCACCATACCTGGCTTCCTTCATCTGTTTTTTAAAAAACAACTTTTCCTTTTGGTGCCAGAAGCCTTCCTTAGTCCAGATAGCCTAGGAAGCATCACAGTACCTGCCCCTCGCAGGCCATATGAAGTGGCCAATCGAGAGGAAGCCATTCTTCCTTCTCCTCTTCTTCCTCCTCTTCCTCTTCCTTTCCTTCCTCTTCATGTTCATCTCCCTTTTCTTTCTGCAGCGCTGGGGGCCGAGCCCTGGGTCTCGCACATGCTAGGCGCGCTGTCCAGGTTAGCTGTGCTCTAGCTGCTATTGCTGCGTAACAAGCTAGAGAGGACAGCGACAGGCAGGTATTTCACACAGGAAGCACACGGCGAGGACAGCTGCTGTTTCCCATGGTGGTGGGTACTAGGGCCAGGGGTTCTATTTCCAAGACGGCCCTCTCACTTGGCCGGCAGCTTATTTCTGGCTCGGGGCCTCTCCAAGGGCCATGGCGCTCCCACGCAGCATAACGGCTCGTGTCGGCGATGAACATTCCAAAAGAGCAAGGGGAGGTGGCCAGTGTCTTACAACCTAAGTGTGGAAATGACACAGTGTGACCTGTACCTTATACTGTTGTGTAAGAAGTCTTAGAGCCCAGATCCCCAGCAAGAGACGTAAACCCTCCTCTCGAGGGAAAGAGTGTCACAGAGCTTGGGGCTGTGTCTTAGAACTGGTAGGGCTATTGGGGTACATGAATGTGGTTTAGTGCTTTGTTTGGTTAAGCATTGGTGTTACACTGTTTCTGAATGAATGTAAGGCCCAGGAGATCTTTCTCTTTCTGTACAGCTCTGGTCTCTGCCATAACCAGATGTGTCTTCAGTACTCACTGTTAGCTATTCATATTTAAGAACCTTTAGTCTAGGAGTTAGTGTGTAGCTTGGTGGTGGTGTGCACAAGGCTCTGAGTTCATTCCCAAGCAGCAAACCATACAAAACAAAATCTCCAATCTAATTTGGTCTTTCCTGGAAAATCCCAATGGGACATAGTCTCTGCTAGGAGTAAGAAATTAATTTGTTTTTAACTAGGATCTTTGTAATTTGTCGGTTCCTCCATGTAGA